GTTACAACGGCCTCTGAACAGGTGAAGCTGAGTCCCTCTCCCCTCCTCCCTCTGTCCTGCCAACAGTGGCTGGAGCGTTGTTCCTGGTCCGTGTGTTGGATCACATCACTGTGCTCTGAGGCCTGCGCTGGCGCCCACGACCCTCCAACTGAAGCCCAGCAAGGCGTGCACAGCTGACCCTAGTTGAGATAGGGGCCTTCCGGGCACCGGGCTCCCTCTCCTCCATCACAGGCAGGCACAGCACGCCCACCTTTCCCAGCCCTCTTTGCATTTTTCTGCCTCAGGCCTTCTCCACCGTGGCCTGTGCCCATCACCCTCTGCCATCCTCTGGGGCCCCAACACTTCCAATCACAAAGCTGCTCTAGAGCTCCTCCTACAGGACTCAGCACACACGGGCAGGGGCTCCCATGCCCATCAGAAAGATGCCTTGGCCCTTCATGTGACCTTTGGCCACCTGTGGAGATGGATGGGACTTTCGCTTAAGAGTGTATGTGTGGCCTAGCCGGTGTGGTTGAGCATTGACCCATGCACCAAAAGGTCACCTGTTTGATTCCCGGTCAAAGCACATGCCCGGGTTGTGGGCCTAGTCCCCATTGGGGGGCGTGCAGGAGGCAGCCAATTGATGTTCTCTCTCATCGATATTTCTCTCTCTCCCTATCCCTTCCTCTCTCTCTAAAATCAATAAAGAAAAAAAAAATTTTTTAAGTGTGTGTGTGTGTGTGTGTGAGGAATCATGCATTTAAATAAGAAAATAAAATGAATCATGCCTAAGTGAACGAGGTAGGGTTTGTCTGTATGCTCACCAAGCCCCTACCTGCCACTCACCTGGGGAGCTTGTAACATCACCAATTTCTGGGCCGTGCCCATGCCCTCAGAACCAGAATCTTGATGGGGAAGGGAGCTGGAATCTGTGTTTTTAATAAGCCCTTCTGTTGATCTTCAAATTTTTTTTTTTTTTTTTTATCCTCACCCGAGGACATTTTTTCATTTTTTGTTCAGGTAGAGTGGGAGGGAGAGAGAGGAACAGAGAGAGAGAGAGAGAAACATCGATGTGAAAGGAACACATCAAGTGGCTGCCACCCACACAACCAACCAGGGCCGGGGACAAACTGCAACCGAGGTACATGCCCTTAGCGGGAACCGAACCCGGGTCTCTCAGGACCGCAGGCCGACGCTCTAACCGCTGAGCCAAACCGGCCAGGGCCTGTTGATCTTCAAATTTGAGCAGGACTGCAGGAAGGGATCTCAGCATTCAAGCTTTTAGAAAGCAGAGAGTTTCAATGAGGGGGCCACTACCTCACCCCCTATGTGTGTATAAGTGTGTGGGGTTGGGGTGAAGAATGTGTACATACAGTGAGTCCTTACCTAACATTATCCATAGGTTTCTGGAGACTGACTTTAAGCAAAACAACTTAGAAAAAAACAGTTTTCCTCTAGGCTAATTGATATAAACAAGAGTTAAGCTCCTAAGGCATTGATCAGAATGAGGTCACTCCCATGCAAACCTGCTGGGAGTAAAGGAAGCAGGTTCCCCAAGAAAGATCCCAGGAATGGTCGCTGTGGAAGCCAGAAGCTACTCCTGACCTCTGGGCCCTGCCAGTTCACGATGACTTCTGGTGGCAGATTAGGAGGAAGCTACTCTGACCTTCTCCCAGGACCAAGTTCCTATGGCATATATCTGGTTACAAGAACACACCAAATTTCTAAATAAAGACCCAACACACTTCTAACATTAAACATAGAAATAAATGTGAACTCTAAATACCCTTAAGAAAGATGAATAAAAGCAAGTAAGAGAATTATTTTCCAACCCCCCCCCATTCCAGTTCAGGGTCTTGGATGGCTGGAGCCTGTCCTGGCAGCTCAGGGTACAAGGTGGTACCCAACCCCGGGCAGGATGCCCTATGATCACAGGGTGCACTCTAACACACACTCACACACACACACACCAGACTGGGACAATTTATACATGACACTGAACCTCACCTCCACATCTTTGGGCTGAGGGAGGAAAACCCAGTCCCCAAAGACAATCACCACCACCCCTGCCCACACACACTCACACACATGTATATGGTGTCAACTGCTGTTTTAATCACTGTGCTAAGATCTTACTCAATCCTTACTATGCCCTACGACGCAGGCTCCACACTCATTTTGCAGATGGAGAAACAGAGGCTCAGGGGACGTCACTGCTGCATAGTCACACAGCTAGAGAGCGGTGGGGCAGGATTCGAACCCAGGGCTGCCGCCGACGTCCATGCTTGAGCATCTCTGCAATGCTGCCCATTTGTGAGCCAGGACTTTCAAAGGACAGGTTTTCTTTAACTTTCCAGACCAGGTTTCCTGGTTTATAGCTAACCCCACCCTCTCTCATGACACCCCCTGGAGCCTGGGGTTCTGGGGTTCTGGGGTTCTGAGAGTCTTACCCACCAGGACCACCCCTCCTCAATGAGTTTGTTTGTTTATTTATTTTTATCTTCACCCAAGGACATTTTCCATCTTTTGTTCAGATAGAGTGGGAGAGAGAGAGAGAAACATCAATGTGAAAGGGACACATCGAGTGGCTGCCACCCGCACGACCCAACCAGGGCTGGGGACAAACCTCAACCGAGGTACATGCCCTTAGCGGGAACCGAACCTGAGTCTCTCTGGGCTGCAGACCAACGCTCTCAGCGCTGAGCCAGACCGGCCAGGGCTCCTCAGTGAGTTTTAAAGGTGACCCCCTGCACCCTGTCCCCAACAGGCTCTCAGTGCTGGGTGAAAAACTCCTGTCATAGGATTGGTTTTGAAGTTTGCGCAGGGAACAGAAACATGAGGAGGCAACTTGCCCTGACTCAGCCCCAGGGAGGTGGGACTGAATGGCCGGCCCTGGCCCTAGCTGTCTAGCCTGGCTTGAGAGCAGGTACCTAGATATGACCACCTCTAAGTTCAGGGGCATCTTCATTGCAAAAGAGTGATTGGCAGCATGAATATAGCCACTACCCGTCCTTCACACTATATGTAAACAAACTCATTCCGTTTCTCTTCATTTGTGGAAAAATATAAAGAGAAAATCTCATGTGGGAAATGGAGTTTTAAATTACACTGTTTGTGCTCTGTAATTGAAAAAGTGCTGTGTCCATGTAAGGAGTGCGTGCCGTGTTCTCAAACAGCCCGTGGACGCGAAAGCCGCTGCGTGGAGGGTTGAAGGCTGGGCTTTGCTGCCGGTCTTTGATCGCTGTGAAGACGCCCATTCTCACTGCGACTTCGAAGGAGGGGATAGAGTTCTCAGCAGTTCCGAGGTTCATTTGACCATGAACCTTTTCACAGAATCTGGGGGGTTAGCAGATCCTAGAGTACATTTGCAAAGCCTAGGATAAAACATTACTAGTAAATTTAACCCCTTACATGTGCAGAATAATTTATAGCTGGTCCCCAATGAGCTTTCATACATAAATTCATTCCAAAGGGTTTTCTCAAAGGACAAAGAAGAAGGTCATTTGAGATTGAGGGGGAGGGCAAGAACAAGACCGAGGGCACCAACAGGGGGACATGGGACACTTGGAGAAGCTCCAGGAGAGCTGGAGACAAAGGTCCCACATCGCCAGTCCCTCCACTGGTTCCGTCTGCCATAGGAGATGGGTCTGCACTTCCTCAGGAGGTTCCTCTGTTCCCCAGATGCCAGAGGAAGACCCCCCAGGTTCCCAGCCAGCAGGAGGCCCCGGTCAGGCGCTTCCTGGCTTTCTTGCTGCAGGAAATGCTTGGCTATTGGGAGCACAGCTTTCCGAGAGGCCCATGTCATGGCCGTCTGACCAAAGGGCTTGAGCCAAGGCTGGCCCTGGCCCCATGGCCAGATTACAGCCTTTCTCTCTGCCCCCAATTGCATTTAGGATGTTCAGGGTCAATGAATGATCTGATCATTCAAATCGTACCAGAGCGTGCTAGTCCCACATGCCAACCCTCTTGGGATACACCTATTTTTCAAGGGCAAAGTCTGCCTGATGGTGGGATGGCAGGTCCAGCTGCAGAGTGATGAACGGGACGTCTTTGACATGGAGTGCCTTCCCAGGACCCTGTGAGTGAGCCACCACAAATGTGTCCCTGTGAACCACTCTGCTTTTCCAGGTGCACCATTGCATTTGTGTATCCAGCAGGGGAGTACAATGCTCCTCAGAGTTATGAACCTAATGTTCTGGTACCACCAGGAGCCTTGGAGGTTCTGACCTGTGGCTACTTAGCATCTACTCACCTGGGCCCCTGGGACTGTGGGGGGAGTAACTCCACATAATGACCAGAGCTAGCAGGAACCAGCTCCTATTTCAAGCACTTTGTATGTATTAACTTGCTTAAGCCTCAGTGACCCAGTGGAAAAGATGCCATTTTTTTCCCCCTCCACTTTATAGAAGAGGAAAACAAGAATTGAGAGGCCAAACAATAAGCCTATGGTCAACCAGCTAAGAAGTAGAGAGGTAGGACTTGAACTCAGGCTGTCTGGCAGTCTTTGATGACTCCTCTGCAGAGATGTCAGTCCGCCCATGGCTAAGGGCAGAGGGCTGGCCGGGACCAAGAGCAGCTGGTATTGTAGACCTGCAGAGGCCTTTAGAAGTAGCTCTGCCCATGCTGCTAAGGCAAAGTACGAACTGGAAGGCATATGCATCTTAAAATAGAATCTTGGAGAAATGAATATGCTAACTAAAGGAATAAATATCAAATAGGCAATGTTCAAGAATTAGTGGGGGATGCTGTGTTGGCCAGAGAACATTTCCAGGTAAAACAACTTCGCAAGCAAACTAACTAACCAAAAAACCAAGCTAAACTAAACTAAACTAAAATATAAATGACAACAAAGCCACACAGAAAACCACAGGCAGGCAGTCACCTCTTCTGCTTGTGGATAAAACTGACAGCTCTAGAAATAAAGGAAGAGAGATATAAAGGATTTCAAAGTATGGGAGTGATTCTTGTTTTTCCATTTAATGTCAGGTTTCAAAGAAGGAAGAATACGTCTGTCATTGTTACATTCATTCTGTTTATTACCATCTAGATGTCTTAACAGGCTCAGTCAGGAGTAGGAGGGTCCCCAGGGCTGCTTCTCAAAGCCAGTAAAGAGCCCTTCCCTGGGAGTGTGGAGCAGGCCCCCTCACAGCCATCACTTCTTTTTGAACACTTGACGACACACCTGGTCACTGCATGTCAGCTCCTGTAACATCAGAAAGTGGGTGAGTGACAAACAAGCCAGGCCTTCCTCCTGCCCTGTCGCTGGTTCTCTTGGTGTCTGTGATTTGGGTGGGTGGGTGGGTGGGGGATGCTGTACTAAAGAGGACACTTATTCTGGGCAAAGTGCATCTCACAGACCCAATCAACTGGCATGCCTGGCAGGTAGCAGTAATTTGATTTTGACACTTGAATTGAGCTTGAACAACTATAAAAATGAAAAATTTGTAGAAATTACCCTCCTGGGAGGGATTTCTCCTACTTTCGTGATTAAAGCAATATCGCCTAATTTATACAAGGCAGAAAATCCACGACGAAGAGAAGGATCTGGTGGGGAGACGTGTTCGGAAGGCAAGGGCCTCGGGAGATGCTTGCTGGTGAGCTGTGTCCCTCCACCCCGTGGGCTTTCTGGCCTCTAGAGACTAGAGCATTAGTTGGTGGTGGCCCAAGCAATGAAGAGGTGTGGGCTGCAGACAAGATGCTGTTTTTCATCCAGACATAGGGAGCCCTCAAGCCTTATCTGGAACTCATGCCCCTTTAGGGGAGGAGAGAAAAACATGAGTGTGGGGACCACCATGAAATCATTGCAGCTGACAATGAATCCATTGTCTTAACCACAGGGATCATTGGGGATTGCACTTCAATTAAAAAGATCCATCATTCAAACCAGAGCAGGTAGGGAAAACGGTCAATGGAAAACACCACGAATGCCTCCCATTTATCAACAGTTGACATTGCCTCTGAAATCAAGACCTCAGGTGAGACAAGGCTGGCTCTGAAGGGCACCACGGTGACCTGAACACTGACATTGCCACAGGTACGTCTGACTCCACAGACGAATGAATGAATGAAGAGCCATTAGTTGAATGAACCACTTATTTAACAAATGAGTGACTGAATGCATGAAGGAGCAAGAGATTTTTCACTGTTTGAATATTGGACCCATAAATCTCCTTGAAGATTGAAGAATGAAAAATTAAGCTATCTACACATATATAATGAAAGGATATTAGCAATGGTACCTGCTGCTCTTGTCTAGTACTGAGCAACCTAAAATATTTTGGTATCAGGTGGACATACCTTATGATGAGAGGCCAAAGCTTGTGGTCTACAAGCAGTCCATGGGCCCAGCAGCCCCTTGTCCATTCCACCTGCACCCCAACCCCTCTTCTTCCAGGTTCACATAACTGCGGGGAGGCCTGGTCCCACCCTCTTTTGGGACATCTTAATTTTGTGGCTCACATTTCACAAGCTGCTCTTTAACAGGTTCCCTGTACTTCTCCATGGATCTCAGCTCCCTAACTCACCATTTTGAACTTTCATTTTAATTGCAGCCATTCACAGAAACAGCCATCTAGATTTCTTCCTGGAGACCCCTGAGCCAGACAGGAGTGGCTTTCTGACTATGTGACCACGCGCATGTGGCTGGAGCTCAGGGGAGGAGGGCAGGGCCGGATTTCCTGTCAACGCACCTGGCTAGATGAACAGGCAGCTCGTGGGAGCACAGTGGAAAGGAGCTGGGCATTCCCTGGGACTTACCAGGTATAGCTTGTCCCCTTCAACCCACTGCCTCCAGCCACGGTTCTCCTTCTCCCCCTTCTGCACGCACACGAGGACATCGCCTTCCCAGGTGATGAGCGACTGCAACGACAAGTTCCCCAGCAAATCAACTGTGTGGTCTTATTGGGACAGAACGAACGTAAACCTGCGGCTGCAGTCCTGACGCTGTTCCTGGGCGGAGCCCTCAGCCTCGGCTGAGATCCTCCCCGTCTCATTTCCACCTGCCACTGCACCTGCTGTTCCAGCCCCACCGGCTTCCTATGGCTGGTTCTGTCCTCGTTTAGATAATTCGACTCTTCCATTTTATCCCATGGTAAATATAGCATTCCAAATCAGAGGGGAAAAAGATGATGAATTTGTATAACCATGTAAATTTTCTAGAAAGAGAAAATACTTCAGAGTCAACAGATGAATAACAAACTGGGAAAAGAATTGTGACACTTGTCAGATAAAGGACCTGGTCCCCTTATACATAAGGGGCTCCCATAAATCAATAAAAAAAGATCATTAACCTAATAGGACATTCAACAAAGGACACCAACCAAGAGCTTACAAGAAAAGAAAAACACAACTCTAGCAGATGGCTTTAAACATATGAAAAGATATTCAACTTCTCCCATAATAAGAGAAATGCAAACGAAGGCTGTTTATTTAGATACAATTCATCTCACAGTCAAAGACAAAGGAGTGATAACACTGCAGAGAAGCAGTCTCCCTCCTACACGGCGGGTGGGTATATCAATCCTTATTAATCTTATACTACCTTTCAAAATATAATATGACGTATACTAGAAATTTGACTCCTGGGAATTTTCCCTACAGAAATACATTGTGAGGACTGTGCACTGTAGGTCAGTAATAAAGGCAGGGAGCTCCCTAACTCACAGGGCCACGCAAATGGCTCCAGGACCAGCCTCATCATCCAGAACCAGGACAGTGGACCTGCCGCTGGTGCTGGGCTGCCTCCAGGCAGCAATCCTGACTGGTTAGTATCACAGAGGTGGCAGCAGAGATGCAGAACTTGTGCTGAATGACTAGCAGGTTGGAGAAGACACAAACCTACCGAACTCCAAGAGGCTCAAACCCCTGTGCAGATATTTACAAATTATACTTCCCCTAACTCCTCCTCTGTTCCCCCCTTTGTCTTTCCTAGCATGGGACAATCTGTACCACCCACAGGTGGTTGTGCGGGGCCACCCACTTCTGTGCCAGAGTTAGGCTGGCACATGCACTTCCCGAGATGATGATGTCGTTCCCATCCCAGCAGTGGCTTTGGATTGGTGCTGTCCTTCCTTGGGGATGACCCTAATGCTAGTTGGTTTTCTTTCAAGTATGTGCAAACCATATTTACACCTCTATGAAACAATATTATGCTAAGGACTAGCTGTTTACTTTTCTTCTATCTTGTAAACTCAGTTGGTGATAAACTGAGCTATGTTTTTTAAGTCACTGTTCTTGCACATTCAGATATATTTTTTTGGTACAATCTGTTTGCTATTTATAAAATAGTATTTGACCTTGATCGTATTATATGTTGTATGTACGGTTTTATTCCTCCTCATATTCCTCCTCGACACACTGCAGCATTGTTTGTTACCGCAAAGGACAGAAGCCTTACACGTTCTGTCAGTGAGTGGCTGGGTAAACACGGTGTGGTTCATGCCTGCTGTGCAGCCCGTGAAAGAGGAGGCAGTTCTATACTTATGGAGAAGAGCAGTCTCCGAGGTGTATAGTTATGTTTAAAAAGTCAGGAGCAGAGCCATGTGCATGAAACGAGATGGGGATGTGTATGCCTGCATGTGTTTGCACAGGTTCCCTGAAAGGAGGTACAACAACCTTTAATAGTGATTCCCTACGCTGGCCAGTGTGGCTTGTGGTTGGAGCATCGGCTCTTGCACTGAAGGGTCACAGGTTTGATTCCCGATCAAGGGCTCGTATCTGGGTTGCAGGTTCCATCCCAGCCCTGGCCGGGGCTCGCGCGGGAGGCAACCTATCTAAGTGTCTCTCTTACATCCATGTTTCTCTCTCTCTCTCCCCCTCCCTTCTTCCCTTCCACTCTCTCTAAAAATCAATGGGAAAAAAAAAATATCTGGAGGTGAGGATGAACAACAAAAAAACAGTGATTGTCCCTGGGGAGGAAACTAAGAGGCTAGGGGCAAGGGTGGGAAGAAAATTTTACTTTTTACTTTTAAAATTCTTTTTAACCATCTGCATGTATTAATAGTCCCCCAAACTAATTTAACAATACGATTCTACATGCTTTCTAAAACCTCACATATTAGAATGTCTTGGAGAAGCTTAATTCACAGGTTGCTCTCCTGGGTATTCTGGGAGGAAGATGCTGGCTGGGCTATTCCAGAGTTTCCTTCCAAATAGATGGGAAAGGAATATATATTTGTCATCACCCATCTTTGGTCTTGGACACAGTGCCCCCCAAATAGGTAAGAAAGGACTGACGTCTCCTATTCAGGCAAGGCCTGTCTTCTAATCCCCTCCACCCATATTGCCTTCCATGTCGTGGACACCTAACGCATGGTGACCGAATTAGTGTCTGTCTCTCCTAAGAGACAATAAGCTCCATGGAAGAAGAGGCCATGTCAGCTGTTCACTTCTGCACCCCATGACTCGGCACAGTCACCAGAGCACAGGAGGTGCTGGATAAGCCTGTTGAATGCACCTGTGATAGATTTTGTTCCAATGGCATCTTGAAGTAAGCCCGAATGGAGGAATAAATGAGCATGTGTATTCTTCTTTGATAATAGTTCTTGATGTCTCAGCCGGCCCAGCTCCTTGCCTTAGTTTCTATGGCACCACCGGAGTGCACACATGCCTGTCAATACGGACGCTGGATGGTAACTGTCCATCTGCTTGCTTACTTCCTCATGAGGCTGGGAGATCTTTGAGGGTAGAAAAGGGGTCTGACTTATCACTTATCAATAAGTCCTGACCCAGGCCTCACATGTAATAGGGGCTTTGAAAATTGGTAAAAGGAACAAAGGAGAAAAATGTTGGTGCATGAGGGCCTGTCCTAACATTTTCTTTTAATAACTCATATTCAGCAGGAAGATGAAAAGTTATCCTGACCCTAAAGTAAATTGGTTATCAATGAATCATGGTGACACCTACACATTACAGCCTTACTCCTACATACAACAGACAGTAAGAAGAGAGAAGAAAATGGTTACATGAACCAAAATTCCAATTCAATTTGCTCTTAGTTGGTGTCCTTTATCCCTGGACCAGAGGAGGCTTTTAAAAGAGGCTGAATTGCGCCCTGGCCGATTTGGCTCAGCGGTTAGAGCATCAGCCTGCGGTCCAGAGAGACCTGGGTTCAGTTCCCGCTAAGGGCATGTACCTCAGTTGCAGTTTGTCCCTGGCCCTGGTTGGTCATACGGGTGGCAGCCACTCAATGTGTCCCTTTCGCGTCGATGTTTCTCTCTCTCTCTCTTTCTCACTCTCTCTCTCTCTTTCTCACTCTCTCTCTCTCTTTCTCTCTCTCTCTCTCTCTCTCTCTCTCTCTCTCTCTCTCTCCTCCTCCCTCCCACTCTATCTGAACAAAAAATGGAAAAATGTCCTCTGGTGAGGATTAAAAAAAAAGAGGCTCAATTGCGGTTGAGGCGATGGACGAAAGTGAGGAAAACCATTGCTTCTGAGCAGGGGTCGGGAGGGAAGAGCATTCCACGAGGAGGAAGAGGACACGCTTGCAGTGAGTTAGAGGAGGAAGCTGGGCCCACCCCAGTGTCCACTGTTAACATCATCAAAAACAGCCCTTGTGGTCAATTAGACACGGGTACTGTATCAGAGTTGTATTTAGAGAAGTTGATAACTATACTATGGTTATATAAGAGAATATCCTAATTCTTAGGAGATAGACACTGCATTATTTAGGGGTAATACAAGATTGTTTAGAAAAAGTATGTATGGAATAGAGAGAGCATGTGCAAAAGATAAAGCCCACGTGGCAAGAGGGTAACAACAGGTAACTCCTGGTGAAGCGTGTACGGGTGGTCTTTATTACACTCGAGTATGGAAGGGCACTATCAACATGTTTAAACCCTCCCCAGTGTCCTCGGCCCTGTAAGACTCATTCCTTCAGCCCCCTCCCTGTCTCTGGCAATCCCTGAGGTGGGGGCCCTCGGAGGAGGCTGTTTCTCCTCTGCCCGGGAGACATTGCAAAGACATTATTGGTTCTGTGGCTCTAATTGCCATCTTCTTTATCTGCTTTTCCCTGCCCCAGTGACCTGTTTTATTCACGTTGAGATCTAATTCACATATGACGAAATTCACCCTTTTAAAGGGTTTAATTCAGTCACTTTTAGTATATTCACAAGGTTGTAAAACCATCACCACTGTCTAAATCCAGAACATTTTTATTACCCCCCAAAAAACCCTGCACCTCACTCCCCATTTCCTCTGCCCCTGGCAACTACTTTCTGTTGATATGGATTTGCCCATTTTGGACATTTTGTATAAATCATACGACATGCGGCCTTTTGTGTCTGATTCCTCTCACTTAGCACAGCGTTTTCCAAGTTCCTCCATGTTGTAGTGTGAACCGATCCCGGGGGAGGATGGGGTCTGAGGAAACGGAGAGCGAAAAGCAGAGAGGCAGAAGAAAAGTGGGTGCTAGCAGGTGGACTCCTTTAGAGTCAGAAATGGCTGAAAGGACCCGGTTCATTTCAGGAAGAGTGAATTCTCTACCATCCAAGGTGATAAAAGGACAAGTCAGAGAGAACAGGCCTATTTTCAACCCCAAACGCCAAGACCGGGGAAAATGAATCATTTTGAACTGATTAGGTTAGGACAGCAGAGTGATGCAAAAATTCTGAGCAGATTTTCCTATGAATTCTGGTGTCTGATGAATTGGCCTTCCAGCCACACAGTTCAGAAAAGCCCTGTTGATCCATCAGTCTCTCAGGTAGGAATTCACAAGGGGCCGTTCCCGGGCTCAGAAGCTCAGGCTCTTATGTCAAGTCTGCTCTGATGGGAGCATTTCCAAAGTGCTTTTCATTTCCGACTTTTCTTTAGCAAGGAGCACTGACTATAATTCAACCTTGATGTGATGGCTGAGATTATCAATGGTACAGGACAACCTGAGAAATAAAATGCATCCTGCTCTCTTGGCTTTGGAAGTCAGGAGCAAAGAATGATGACAAGTTTTCCTTCCAAACCCAGGAGAGGTGCCAGAGCTCATGGTCCTTGCTTTGGGGAGAAGTTGAGACCTCCAACTTTGAAAGAGCTCCTCGAAGTACAAGAGAAGGGGGATTCTGTGGGGAGCGGGGCTCATGGTGAATGGGGAAGGGTCGTGGAGGGTCCTGCTTTCTCTTGGCACTCCAAGGGGCTGGCCTCTGCTGGGGGTACAAACAGATACCTGGGGAAGGATATCCAGCCCCCCCCTCCCCAGCTTGGGAGCCAGGGCAGAGGTCCTGGTGGCTGCATTGGCACAGATGTGGTAGGTGCTATGAACCCTCAATTTGTCCACCCTTATACAAACTCCATGGGCATGAACAGTAAGTGGCCAATAGCAACCATGCTAAATGACAAACCAGAAACCCTTTCCTAGACTGTGTAACCCACCAGGGTTCTTGTACGATGCAAAGGCTGGGGTGGGAGAATCCTTAAATTCAACTGAGATTGGCTTTCTCCTCATTCTATTTGTGGGGACTGACCAGGTGTAATTGAATTTAGAAAGTCAGGTGCACTAGATTTTAGTGTGAACACAACAATCGGTCACTAGGCTGTGATACCACGTGGCGACTCTAGAGGAGAGGAACCTGCTGTTACCCCTGCCTTCCCACCACCACCCCACATCTCCCTGCTACTCCCACTCTCCGCCTCATTCATAAACTGCTCCTCTGGGGGAGGGCCTGCCTCTTCTGCACTCCAGTCCCTGGGCTCTGAGATACCTCCCAACAGGTACACTCAGGGCTGTCTGCTCGCTTTCAGAATCCTACCCGTACCCAAACCATCTAAGCGACTGGCAGTCTGGCCTTCTGATGCATGGAGATTCCTCCACTGTGGCTTGTGAGTTAGGGTGATTATGACACGGAACCTACACATTTGCCCCAGATTTCTGTAAGTTACTAGTTTTGGAGAAACCCTGACTTCATTTAGTATACTGAATTTTTGTTTGCTTTGCATTGCCTTTTCCTTGAAAAAGTAAATCAGTGGGAATCATCTACAATGGAGATGCTTCATCTGAAAACACATGAATTCTCAACATCTCTTAGGAAAAAACCTCTATCCACATGAGGCATCAGTGCTTGTGGAAATGTGTGGCTGGTGCTGAGCAGGGCTGCCCCTCTGCTGAAGCTACACTGCTCAGCTCTCATGGTTGAATCGCCCCATGATACCCCACCCTGCCCTCGTCTCTTTGCCTGCCAGCCCGCGTCAGACCCGGGAGAGGCCAGCATGCTTTACTCTCTCCTGTGCTTATAAGCTCAGTGCAGAAGCCTACTTGCCTCTTTCTACATAAAAGAAATGATGCTCACCGCCAGAAGTATTGTCCATTCTGGCCCCCCTTTCCAGGTTGTTTCTGTCATGTTTTCTTTGTGAAGTCTAATAGCCACCCCCTCCAGAGTGTAGGAGTGAAAAAGGCCCCCCCAGTTTCGTACCTTAACATTCCGGTTGTCCAGGCCCTTGGTGTACTCATCAAACTCCACTCCGACAGTGAAATCCAAGTCATAGTTGCGGAACGTGCTGTTGGTTTTCGTCTTGAAGTTATCACCGTCTTGAGTGATGATCTTCGTCTGAGTCAGGCGCACCGCAATCTTGCGGGTGGCAAAATCGATATCTGTTGGCAAAGGGAGTTGTGGACGTTCTGATGTGCTCAGCCAGACTCATTCATTTCTTTAACAAGGCCAAGCAATCAAGATCAGAGACACAGATCTGGGCAGGCCACATTTCTTTGCTTAAGTGGGAAACAAGAGTTGTCTTACATATGACCAATTTGGGCATCTCAGTCAATTGCCCAGGACTCTAGGGTTTTTCTTGCCTCCTTAGGAGCCCTGATGGCAGGCAGGAGGAGGCAGCAAGCAGAGATCATGCCTGAGCTGCAACCCTCCAATATGCATTCATGTACACACACACTTCACACACACACACACACACACACACACACTCTCTCTCTCTCTCTCTCTCTCTCTCTCTCTCTCTCTCTCTCTCTCTCCTCCACAGCAGCTCTATTCTAATTATTTCACATATTGGTGTTTTTTTTTTAAGTGTTTGCTGAACATAAGACTTCATATTTAAAAGAAAAAAAGGACTGTTTAAAAACAACCAGCTTAGATCACAGGTTAAGATGGATTCTGTGACTGCCCACAGCGGGGAAGGATACATACAAACGTCCGTTTCTAAAGCAGATCAGGGGCTTACGTAGCGAGGCTGTTCTGCCTCACGCGCCAGCCCCATACAGCTCTCAGCATTCTCTAGACACGTAATAAGCACTTGTTCAGAGATGTGTCTTGTTTTTAAGGAAAAGATTTGCTCACATTTTTATTATGAAAAATTTCAAGCAAACAAAAGTAGAGAGGAAAATTCAAGGAGCCTTATACACATCACCTGGGTTTGACAGTTATCACGATTTTGCTGCATTTATTAATTTACAGCTTTTCTTTGTCTTGGTATTTTAAAGGAAATCTTACTCATCTCTTAGAGGCCATTAGGAAGTAAAAGGGAGCATGCCCTCCAATGGAGTGTTTTATTTCCTAAGCTTTGCGTTTTATAGTAAGAAGCTAAGTGCTGAGCTCACCTCCTTGCTAACCTCTGGTTAATACATAAACCATCACCCAACCCAAAAAGTCACTATCTTGTGGAATAAACCTAGAAACAGAGGATACTTTCAGAAATGCTAAATCTCTATCCTCGCTATGAACATCATTAAGCTCTTGGTCTCTAGCCAAATCATAGCTGACCACCTTTATGCCTGTAAATTCTGCAGATAACTTTGGATACCAAGCTAAATCTTTAATTTTTTTTGAAAGTCCACTTGGAGGATTTCAAAACCAGTAAGATCTGTTCTATTTTATCCCAAGGATAACCTCAAGGGTAAGAACACTTCGGATTCATTGAGTGCTGTTTCTCTGAGACTTCCAGCCCCATCTCTAGGACAGGTAGGTGATTAAACTTCACACTGTGTGCTTTCTGATGGGGGGGTGTAAATATGATTGTGTTCATGAGACAGACCAACAGTTCCCAAAAGTTCAGGGAGCTCATGTTAATTTGAAGAATGAATATCTCCTCTGGCTGACCCCCCACCCTTCCGCGGCCCTTCCATGGGGGCCAAGCATCACTCCCCTCACAATCTCTCCTCATTTCCTTTCTGGCCCAATTCCCTTCTGAATCCCTCTTTGGTCACTATCATTCCCCTTCTCCCAATTAACCAAGGAGAAGCCCAAGCTGGCTGCTTGGATAACGACAGAATCGCATCTGCATTGGAAAGACCCTGGCTGATCTTTTGGACCCTAAATTATACAAAGTCAGCTTTTATCATAAAAATAATTTGAAGTAGTCAGTCAGCCCAGGAGGTAAAAAGATGACATAGCTGTACCCTAAGTTGAAAAGAGAAATTAGGTTCAGATTGGCACAAGCTGGTGCATGAATGCCCGTGTCTTGCTCAACTGCTGTTCACTACTATTTGTTGAGAACCTGCCATGCCTAAGAATTCACCGAGGAGTCCCCAAACTGGCTGCCCCTCTGGATCACCTGGGCAAAGGTAAAAACCACAGATTTCTGGGCCCTACCCTAGACCCAGAATCTCCGGAGACATTTAGATTTTGGATGTCCTCATGCAGAGCCTTTTGGAGAAAGATTTCCATGGTTTAAAAAATCTAAAAACTACTACTTAACCATCTACTCATGTCACGGGCGATGCCATGCAGGCCTAAAGAGCAAAGCGACTTGCCTAAATGATCGCAGCTAAAACAGCAATCACGGCTGTGCTGGGGAGGAACCCATGGAAGGATCAAGATGGAAAGAGAAAACAGTGGTTTTGAGCTTGGGTGACCAAGATGAGATCCAGGGAAGCCAAAGACTGAACTCGTTTTCCGAGGGCACATCGGAGCTGAGAGTTAGGTAATCTGGTCATATTTGAGGGAGTAATTAAGACACATCTTGGAACCAAACAGAAATGGTAGCCCCGGGTGAACCTCCCTTGGGAAACCTCTCTTATTTTATTCTCCCAACAAACCCACGAGATGAATAATATATTACCTGCATTTAACTAAAGAGGAAACTGGCTCAGAGAAGCTGTGTCACTTGCGCTGGGTTACACCGTGAGGAAGCGATAGAGGTGGGACTTGAACCCAGGATGGCCTGGCTCCCGGGCCAGCACTGCGCTGGCCTATCTCGTCAGGTCAGACCATCCCAGTCTGTGCACTTCCCATGGCTCCCCAAGATACCAGCCACTCTGACTCTCCTTGTGTTTGCCCTGAAGCCACCAGGATTCTCGGACCCAGCTCGAAGAGACCACCCCCATTTGGGACAGTCATGTGCCCCAGGGCAGAGTGCGCTCTCTCCAAGGCTCGCTACAAAGTCTGAGTTGGAGAAGTCACACTCTAGCCCCTGGACGCTGTCTGACAACTCGATTGGCTTCAGCTCTGTGGCTTGTGGACCTGGGCACGTCCAAGCCACACAGCCTGTAGGCACAGGACATGGCTGAGACCAAGGCTCTCTCTGCTGCCCTTCGTGCTCTGAGCACCTCCAGGCACCTCGGCCAGCTTCGCAGAGCCCTGGGGCCTCACTATGCTTGCCGTGGGGCTCAGACTCAAACTACATTTGGTGGTCAAAAAAAATAAAAGCTCATGATCAACTCAGTTTGGGAAATGAGGAATGAAAACGGAGAGAAGCTCGTTTCTGAACTCCAGAACTTCACGAAGCTTCCAAACCAGGAGAGATGCTTTGCAGTGCACGGCAGGATACACGACGCAGCCTTTCCCAGACTTTCGTGACTGCAGAACTGCTCGGTGGTGGGACCCCAGCGGGCCAGGGGTTCCACGGGACACACTGCAGAGAGAGCTACAAAACCCCTCCGGAGGCATTTCTCTCAGTCACTTGGGCCTGTAGTTATGGAAACATCTGTTTAGCTTGTCTCCTTTCCTGGCCTGTTTGGAAGGGAGAAGACGAGAAGACGGAGGACCAAAGATTTCTGACTTAAAAATGAACTGTTCCTTAAAACTGCTAAAAGCCACTAAGAAATGTCTTCCCTACCTAGTCAGTATAAACACGCACTTGCAGCAGGCAGAGGGCTGACATGTCACATTCCAACTCATGTTTCCCTCCTACCCCGGGAACACAGTCTAGTGCGCCAGTGACGCCCATGTGTCCAACTTCAGTCCTGCCTGGACACTTGGGTCCAGGTCCAGAAGCAGCAGAGAGCAGCGGCCATAGCAGAGCTATTGTTAACTGTATCAGGTGACTTGAGGATGAACTTTGACAGTGTTTGGGAAGAGCTCTGCCCAGTGGTTGGTGGCTTGTGGCAATGACCCATAAATCGTAGCTGCTGGCATCATCATTATCATCATCATCATCACTAAGTCCCCGGATGGCACCAGCTGGCTGGCTTGGACTCTTGCATTTTCCCAGGTGCTCCCTGTATGTTTGCTCCCTGGATCCCCGCCCCTGTGCTCCCAGTTCTCCAAATCATGAGGCCCAGCCCAGCCTTGCCTTCTCCAGCCTGGTCTGCTCTTTCTTGCCTCCATCCTCACCTACTATCCAGGCCGTACGGTTTTTCTCCTCAGGAGACACAACTTGGTATTTCCCTCTGAATTTTTCATGGGGTTGATTGTTTTGTCCTCCAAAGACTCACCGCTAGGTGACAGGAAAATGCTCTCCTTGCTTTGTATCCCCATAGAACCAGGCCCAGAGCTAGGCACAAAGTATATGCTCAAGAAATACTACAAATTATTCTAGGACCATGTTCTAGGACAGCGGTTTTCAAAGTGAGTTCCCTTGGTTGGCAGCATCACAGTACCTGGGGACCTCTTAGAAATGTAAATTCCGGGGCCCACCCTAGACTTACAAGGGGTTGGACCTTGCTTATTTTTACAAGCTGTCCAAGTGATTTTGTGCATGTGCAAGGTTATAACCACCGCTATAAAAGAGGAGGATGGGGGTCAGATCTGGGTGTTAACCCTGGCCCTGACTTCCCAGCTATGAAACCTCAGTGACGTCACTCCCTTCCTGAACCTCAGTTCTCTCCCAGTAAAATGGGGAAAAGAAGGCTCATTTCACAGTTATGTAATGTAAGGATTCACTTAAAATGCTTCACACAGTGCCAAGGGGCTTGTGGGTGCAGCAGGTACATCAGCCTCCCAGCCTTGGCCTCTCCTGTTCAGGTCAAACACAGTAACCAGATGGGCTTTCAGCCTGGAGGGAAATATCTGGGTCCCATTTATACACCTGCCGCTCCGTGCTGTCCACCGACCCTAACTCTGAACAGTCAGGATGGCGGCTGATCACTCTCTCACTCACAGAGCCCCAGCCTGTCACATGGACGCTTTATCAGCTTCCTCCCCCCATGGTCGGCCAATGGGTAGAAGCAGCTTCAACTCCTGCTGTGCCCTTTGCGCTAAGGTCCACCCTGTGCTCACCCTGCTGCTGGAGCCAGAGTCAGGGGATGGGGACGAACCAACCAACCGATCAGCCAACCACAGGTCATGTATGAACCAGAGGAAACAAAGAAGAGGGCTCCCCTGCGCAAAACTACTCAGAAAGAACCGGGAATGACCGACATTCAGAACTGAAGTGGTCCTCAGAGAACGAGTCTACTACTCCCAGACGTGACAGCAAGGCCCA